TATGGACTAAAACCTCCACAAACTGTAAGCGAAATAAACCTTTCCTTCCTTAATTTTGGGCATCAGGTATTTTGTCCCAGCAACAAGAGAAAAGTAACTAGGACAGACATAATGAGCAGATCTAGAACAATGCACCTCAAATTTGGAAAATACACGTTCTTCTCAAATATACCAGGAACATTTAGAAAAACTGGCGAGATAAAGTACTGGAAGATAAAAGCTTATGTTGGCCTTGGGGTATAGCTCAGTAATAGAGCATATGCTTAGCATACTAGATGCCCCTGGTTCAATCCCCATCATCAGGAAAATAAAACAGCTCTCTCAATGAACTTCATTTATAATATATTATCTGACAACAGTGCATTCAAACCAGGAATCAATAAGAAAAATTTAACTAGAAATTCTCATGTGTTTGGAAATTAAATTCATTTTTCCCCAGTATTGGGGATTAAAGCTATGGCTTCCCAACTGAGCTATATCTCCATCCCCTTTTTTATTTTTATATTTTGGAATAGGGTTTGTAATGTTGCTAAGTTGTCTAGGGTGGGCTTCAGTTCATGAACTTTCTCCCTCAGCCTCTCATAACACTGGGATTAAAAACATTTTTTAACCTTTGAGTTGAAACAAATCATAAGGAAATTTTAAGAAATATTCTGAACTCAATGACTACAAGAAACAAAAAATATGAAATGTGAGAGGATGCAGCTAAGGTAAACCCTAGCAAGAAATGTATAACTTTAACAGAAGATGTTAGAAAAGAAAAGTGCTGAAACAGAATGAGCTCAGCATCTGTAGGACACAACTGGCAAAAGAAACAACCAAACCTAAATAAAGCAATAGAATAGACCCACATTGTATAGAAGGAAGGAAATAAGAAGGAAGAAAGTTAATGAAATGGAAAACAAATATGAATGAAGAACAGTAATGTCTAAGTTAGTTCTTTCTTTCTTCCTTCCTTCTCTCTCTTTTTCCCTCTTTCTTTCTTTCTTTTTTTCTTCCTTTCTTCCTGAGACAGATTCTCTGTGTCATCAAGTCCAGTCTTTTTTTTTTTTTTTTTTTGAGGTACTGGGGATCAAATTCATGACCTTGTGCTTGCCAGGCAGGCGCTTATGCCATTGAGCTATATCCTCAGCCCATCAAGTCCAGTCTTGAATTTACTGTTTAGCTCAGATTGGCCTCAAATTCACAATCCTCCTACCTCAACATTTGGAGTGCTGGGATTATAGACATGTGTCACCATGCCCAGCTGCTAGTCAGTTCTCTGAAAGATTAATTAAATTGCAAAACCTATTGAGCAATCATGAAAAAAGACAAAGCATAAGCAATGCTTATCCAAAAATTGTAACCGTGGATGCTCTTCCCATGGAAAACACAGTGAGTGTGTGATGAGCCAGGAGACAAATGCAGCTGACCAAAATTGACTCAGGAAGAGATAGAAAACTCCAGCAGTTTTGTAGCCATTAAAGATATGCAATTAGTTATTCCAAATCTCTCTCACACACACACACACACACACACACACACACAAATCCCAGGTCCATATAACTTCATTGGTAGAGCTCTGTAAAGTCAAGGAAAATACTTTTCTAATGTTACACAAATGTTTTAGAGTCTCAAAAGTGAGAGAATCCTTCCTACATGAGTTCCCTAGACTTGCGTTAACAAAGTTACACAAGCTGGTGGCTTAGAACTACCAAAGGTTATTGTGTCACTGTTCTGGGATCAGAAGTTTATAATCAAGATATCAGTAGGAAGCCAGCCATGGTGGC